CATAAAAGTTTTAGGAAATTATATTCCCGAAATTTAGAAATTGTTTAATGTTAATAGCTTATGTGTAGCATGAGTTATAATCCAATTACCAAGGCATGTTCAGAGTGTTATTGTAGTTGAGCCTAGTTGGAAACAACCACTGAAAACTGCATCTATTCTATAGGGTATTTGAATTTATTTCCTTCATCAATATTGTAGGTAATTAAGTTATTGAAATTTTGACTCAAATCTTATGTCAAAATAGCTTATATAACTCTAGAAAATTCCAAAATACTGAACTTTGTCCATGTTTGCTATTAGGATTATTCCTACTCTAAGTGCATACAAAATAGGATAATTTTATAAGATAATTGTAAGTTGAATGTGAGCTTAAAATATTATTAAAAATGTATTAACAACTCAAAGTGAATTTAAATTCTCATGAGATAGAAACATAGAAATATAAAATTCTAACTAGTATTTTATTACGCTGAAAAACAACATCAAGCTTGGAAAGGAATAAGTGTGAACGTATCAGGTAAGGGGTGGACTATATAGTAAGGATTACATCATAAACTTGTTTGACCTTATTTGTTGAAGTTGTCTAAATTTGTTATGATTGATAATTTTGATTTCAGTATATGTTTGGTTGTGAAAGTGATAATGAATTGCTTACGTGTATGATGGTGTAAAATACATGTTTGGTACTCTATTATGATATGTATGGTCTTTGAGTGAGCATTTATATGCATGGTGGTTTTTCATGAGAAAGTTCATTGAAAATTAAATTGAAAGAATTGGATGATGGGTTGTGAACCCTTTTTGAACTGTATTGGAAGTTTTCTGCTTGTAACAGGTGATTGGAAATTTTTGGGAAGTCCGTATTATAGGGGAAACTCTGTCAAAATTTTTGGAAAAATGTGAATTTCTATCATACACTACTCATTTGAAAATAGTAATTTGTGAAATTTGGGGAATCATAGATTATGCACTCTGAGAATACGATAGGGAGGCCCTGAGAGAGGACTTGAGGATAGGAAGGGTAGTGGTTGGAGGCCCCAAAAGACCTAGGCTCGCTACCTGTTGTCGGGGATCCCACTGTACAAACTCTCATGTACCTGATTGTGCTCTTACCGTATATCAATGGTCAGTGAGCTACTGGGTTTATATTTGAGCATGAGTCTCAACAATCCCGTGGGTGGATTTTCCATGCCTAGTAGTGTCAACTCTTGGCTACCCCAGTACTGATTTGAGAAATGATTCGGGCCCGCATGCATAAACATTTTAGAAAACATATTAGGATCATGCATCATTAACATCAATCATTTGGAATTTGATTGACTTGTGAATGTTTATGATGTTGATTTTAAAATGATGTATGAACTGTTGCTCACCCTCTTGTTTTTCTGTTTTCTTTATTTCCTTTGTATTTGCGGTACTCGTTGGACCTGATCGGTCATTGTTTGAAGAGAGGGGAGATGGCATAGATTCCACAACCGATGAATATGACACTCATACTCATTAGCTGGGAGCCACAATGATGGCAACATGTATTGGGATAAACATATCCAAACTTTTATAAATAGTCTTTTGTAGTATATAGACCCTACAGGGTACTGAGTAATAGTTACTCTTTTGTGTAGTTAGCTGCTCTGTAGGAAGTATCCTCAATGTTGCCCTTAATATTTTGAAGGACTGTACTAGTATTTTATCTATATGTAATTATGAATGTTTACTTTTAGTACTTTTTAAAATGATGAAATGCAGGAATGGGTTATTGAAAATTTATATATTAATATTATGTACGAGGGAAAGATTATTATTGGTTTAAAAAAAATCTGCTAAAAATTATTATTTCTTCTGATTGAGGGTTTATAAGGTAGGGTGTTACAATGAAGATCATGGTTAGAACTTTGAAAGAGACTTCAGTAACTCCCCTTTGCTTCTGACAGTCTAGGATCTTCTTGAGTTCTTATCTCCACCAAGATATTGGTGAAAACCACTCGAGTAGAGTCCAGAAGTTGAACTTATCTTTGTAAGGATCTGTTAAGATTCTATAGGATGTCTGGGTTTTAAATTCGATAGGAATGGAGTACTGAACAGTGTTGCACGATATGGTCCATAGAGATGGTTCATAGAGATCCCAACCCAAGTCATAAAATAATTCAGAAATTCCCCCAAAAGGAATATCAGGGTTAAATATGGAGGGTAAGATGATTTTATACTTCATGATTTCATATAGAAAGTAGATATAGCGATTCTTTGCATAGTGGAGGATATCGACGGGTGTGGTTGGGTTCAATTCGGGAGGATAAACTTTGATGATTTTGGCTTTGTTAGAGAGAGGTTTGACCATGAAGATAAGAAGAAGACTATAGGTGTCAGAAATCAATTGGATAGTCTTCTAGGTTTTGGACAAAAAGTCAGGGACTATGTTTAGGTTTCCTTTATTGTGCTTAATAGTAAAATCATACCTAGAAAACCAGTCCATTAGCCACAGAATCTGAGGACTAAGAGGTATCTTGTTCTTGAACTCTAGGATCTTTGGGAACAAAGAGTTTTCCATCTATACCTCGAAGTGATGTCCTCTGAGATGGAAGTCAAAGATAAGTTTTCCATCTGTACCTCGAAGAATCTTAACAGACCCTTACAAAGATAAGTTCTACTTCTGAACTCTACTCGAGTGGTTCTCACCACTATCTTGGTGAAGACAAGAACTCAAGAAGATCCTAGACTGTCAGAAGCAAAAGGGAGTTACTGAAAGCTCTCTCAAAGATCTAACCACGATCTTCATCATCCACCGTCCATACTTCCTAAATCCAGCAGGACAACTATGGTAAAAAAAATGAAGCCTACATTTGGGGCAGCTTCAAGACCTATCCACTTGATGAAAGTTACCGGGCATAACTGGCGCGACACCTCTACGAAGTCAACAACTACCATCATGAGCCAGTGGACCCCAACATCACTAGCTCATCTCAAAGACCGCTTAGTTCTTATCCTCTGAACAAGATCATCCAAAAAGATGATGGATCTCATCAAATAAGGTTCTTCAAATCAAAGATAGAGATCTACGTACCTAAAGAAGAATTCCAAAAGGTTGAAGACTTAGCAGATGATTATAACGAAGAATTGATGGATGAAATGATGGCCCACAAGCAAATGTATCCCTACTAAGACCCAGTATATGGAAGCATGACAAGAGTGAGGCCCAGCAGATGAATCATTTTGGTTCCACCAAATTTGACAAAAGTAAATGCTTTAGTTATTGGTTGTCATTATGACATGCTACTAAAGCACGATTCCCTTATATTTACACATGTCCATTACAATCTCCGCAAACGTGTTAATGAAGATGAAACTGAGTCAACTTTACTTTATCTGATGAGATATGATATCTTATCATATCTTATCCTAACTGTAAAATATATCATATCATTTTATCTTATCTGTGGGATATCACATCACTTCTTATCTTGTTTGTAAGATATCTTATCATATCTTGTCCTTTTGTAAGGTCATTATGAGTGTGGGTTGTAACCTTATATTCAGATTCCACTTTGTATGGTATTTCGGGTCCGAAATTCATTTTAGTTTAGCATAAGTTTGAATTTTGCTTATGTAGTTTTCCTATAAATAGGAAGGGCTTGTAATGTTGTAACTCAGAATGAAATAGAACGAAACCAACTATCAATACAAGTTCTCTTTCTAGAAATGTTCTCTCTCTAAGTTTTCTCTTCTTTGAAAGCTCGAAGCTTATAGTTCTTAGTATCGTTCCCCACTTAGATGTAAGTGTTCCCCACTTAGATGTAAGTATGCTCTACACTTGCCTCATATGAGGATCCTGTGTATCATAAAGCTTCCAATCCCCGAAACTGTTTTACCGCAGAGCGCTCTTCTTATAGGAAATATGAATTTGAGTGGGCTTTTAGCCGAGGGATGGCGTCATTATGCTGGACGAGATTCATATCATCTGGATAAGAAGGGGTCTCTATCTAAAATAGGGGACGATTATGTACAATAATTAAAAAAATATATAGATAAAATAAAAGAATTATAAAAAATTAAAAAAAAATTATATGAAAAATGAAAGGTCTTGATTTTAGAATAAATGGACCAAAATTTAGGATTGAGAAAAAAATTGTATTTAAGTTTAAATATTTTGTAATTTCCTAATAATGGTGATTGCATGAATGTTTTTATTGTTAATGTATTCTCTAATGAGAAAATAACTAATAGATTTAAGAAGATAATTGATATAAATGAGTTGAACTCAAAACAATGAACTGTGTGCAAGGTAAATGTGAAAAAAATAATCGTAAAAATGATATTTGTTCCTAGAAAGACAACTCTTAATTGATTAAAAAAAAATTCATAATATATAAGTGTTGTAAAATAGGAGTATTGCAAAACTTAGAATGTGTTGCAGTAACCTATAATGTGTTCCACTAATCTAGAAGTGTTCCACTCTCCCATGTTTCCAGGCCACAACCATCGATGATGTTGAATGCAGAGATGAATTTGTTGCTCATACTACATCTATAAATAGATCACTCCACACTCCTCCAAAAGACACAGTTTTACTAATCTTCTTTTTTTTCTTTTTTCATTCCTTTTATCCTGGGTTTACTTACTCTTTTAAGAGTTTTTTGCTAGTTTCTAAGATCCTCGGAATTTTTGAGAAGTTCCTCTTATATCCTGAGGACTTGTGCAATAGAACACGGATAAGTCCTTAAGGGTTGTATTTATACATGCCTCAGGAATCAAGTTTTGTTTGTGTCTTTGTTTTCATTTACAATAATCTTAAGGACTTATTGCTCATAGAATGGAAATCTAAGAGGGGTTTCGCAGCAACAACAATGGCAGAGCAAAGAAACTGCTAGAGTTGGAATATCACCGGCTTCAAGTCGTGGAAGTCGCCATCGCCAGAGCAAAACAATAAAAAATCATTTGCACCATTTGCGAGGAGAGACTCGACCTCCTCGGTTCCTTTGCACTTCGTGGCTACCAAAGTTGAGGACTTAAGAAACAAGGTTACGCAATGATGTATCTTGTCTTAGCTTCTTTGATGGTAAACGAAGCAATGTTGTAGACCCTTTCCCTTTCGACATGTGGGACCCTTTTGAGGGGTTTCCCTTCTCAGCCACTCTCACCAACGTCACTTCCTCCAGTGATGAAGATAGTGCCATAGCTAACACTAGGGTGGACTGGAAGGAGACACCACAGGCCCGAGGAAATTGATAGGTTGCACTGCGTTGAACGAAGCACCAACAAATTCATGAGGAGGTTCAAGCTTCTAGAGAATGCTAAACTAGATCAGGTAAAGGCTGGAATGGAAAATGTGGTATAGTTGGGTATTAGAAACCCATTCTTAATTGTCTTGGCACTAATCACTTTGTGCACCTGAGGTAATAATCCATTAGTCTCTTTTTTTTTTCCTTTAAAGCTACAACATTGTACCAAGGAAAAGTTTCATCCTTCCTGGTTTATGTGTTATTTTTGCTTCTGCTAACTCCTTATCAGGCATGGTGTTGTGAGATGGGATGAGGTTTTGTTATTTTTATTATTGTTTTGTGTTAATTAATTAATTCAATTGGATTTAAGGAGTTAAAATCATAAGGAATGGAGATAACATTTACTATTTTAAGAATAATACATTGAGAAACTTCTTAAGAAATTTGGGCATTATAAGTTCAAAACTAATGAGTACCCTTTATGACACTAGCTTTAAATTAAAGAAGAATAGGAGACTCAATCTCTCAACCTCAGTATGCTCAGATAATTAGGAACTTACTGTATTTAATGAACTTTTCTAGACCTGACATTGCTTATGCAGTAGGTAGACTAAGTAGATACACTCAATGTCTTAATCAAGAACATTGGGATGCACATGCAAGGCTTATAAGATACTTAAGAGGTTCAATGAATTATGTCATTGAATATAATGAATTGTCCATTGTACTAGAAAGGTATAGTTATGCTAACTAGATCTCTAATTTAGATAAGACAAATCCACTAATGGTTATGTATTCACACTCGGGGGTGGTGTGATTACATGAAGATCAGTCAGCCAAACAATTATTACAAGATCAACAATAAAATCTAAGTCTGTTGCTCTCGAAATGGATGGTAGTGAAGCTAAGTGGTTGAAAAACCTCTTAGCAAACATTCCATTAGGAATGAAACCAACCACATCTGATATGAATCTCATTTACACAAGGGTTGACTTAGGATCTTTAGGGTTATAACCTTGTAGGAAATTTAGAAAATTAGAGAAAAGGTGGATTAGAAAATGGTGAAAGTTTCAAGGTTGGGCAAACTTTTAGAAACATCGATATCTCGAGCTATAAAACTCCAATTGAGGTGATTCAAAAATGAGGTGAAAGTTCTCGTTCTAAATTTCAATTTAGGCTAAAAAACACTCAATTTGGCAGAGTAAAACGAAATTTATGACTACAAAATAAATCTAGACAGAATTGAGTTTCTGGGTTTTGGTGAAGGAAGAACAAGAGATGAATGTGAAAGGTCGAAGGAAAGAATTACTCTTCCCAAGGGAGGCAACTCACAAAGGATGTGAAAGTCCTTTGATACAACCAAGGGTTCTTGAATCATTTAAGAACTTAGGAGAATCACTCCCACAAAGATAAAAGATCTAAACTCTAATATTGCTGAATAAAACTCAACTTGTATTTTTGATAAAAATGGTTCATCTTGTATAGAAATTTTTACCATCAAAGTTACAAAGACTCAATAAAGGAAAATAAATGCTAATAATAATTAATCTAAGAATTGAAAACTACTTAACGGAGGCAAATAAATACTAATAATTATCCATTAACCTAATAATTGAAAACTACTTAATGAATGATTGTAACTAAAATTGTGGCAACCAAAAGTCAATTAGTTATGCACCATCTTGGTTTTCCAAAGGCTGATGCCTAAGTTTCCAACTGGGCCCTTATTACAACTTGAAACAAAACTAAACTAAAGACCATTAATTAATTAACCAAAAACATAATTTGATCAGCCAATTTTATAAAGGATTGAGCCATTATTTAAACAAACTTAAAGACTGAAACAAAGTGATGTATTAGTCTTCCTCCATTTGGGCCATGATGCAATTCACAACTTTAGTCTTTTCACCTTGAAATGTGGGCTTATATTCAAATAATATGGACAACACTTGTTGAAGAGCTTCCTTTGTTTCCCTTGTTCTAGCCTTTGTCATAAGTCCTTCAAGTGGATCCTTTCCCTTACTCATGGTCATGTCCCCATCAACATCTGTGTCAATACATTGTGATTGTCAATCGGCAATAACTACAACTAAAAATAAAAATTACAATGCAAAGAACAAACATATATAATTGAGACATAATTTAGTGAAACAGCTGCTAAAAAGTGGAACAATTTCTATTGACTATGTGAAGTCAGAACGAAATCTAGCAGATCCTCTAACGAAACCCTTAGGGGAAAATATGATTTTAGAAACATCGAGGGGAATGGGACTCAAGCCACTTACAAATAAACAAGGATGGTAACCCAACCTTTATGATTGGAGATCTCATGAATAATGTTCATATGGGTAAAAACAAGTCACTTGTTATTTCTGTTACCACTAAATTTGATTAAAATTGATCAATTGTCCATTCCTATGGTGTGTAAAAGTGATAGATACTACATCAATGAGAGATTAAACTTTGTAATTAAAATTCTATGTGGTGTACTAATTTTAGTCTAAACAAAGGTTTTAATGATTTCATATATCTTATAGGTGGTGTATGATTTACAACATACGCTTGATGAAATCACCTATATGAGTGTCGAGTGGAGCCTCTTATATCAGATCTTTGCATGATTTCTAGAGTACTCATGAATACCAGTCACACGCATGACTTAGTAAGTACAACACAACGATAACATCAAGAATTGGGGTGTATTGTGATTGTTAAACTGCTAACACACACTAAGTATTTTGGTTCATATAGCTTGTTATACCAATTACATTGTGTGTTAAGTTTTCAGTCTATGACTAGTTGATATAGCTTGTTATACCAACTCTGATACATTACATCTTATATGAAACCCAAAATTTTCTTCTTTTTTCTTTTATCTCCTTTTTGTTTTGCAATATGTGGCGGATTATTGTAAAATAGGGGGTTGTTGTAAAATAGGGGTATTGCAAAACCTAGAATGTGTTCCACTAACGTAGATCGTGTTCCAGTGACCTAGAAGTGCTCCACTCTCCCATGTTTTCAGGCCACAATCACCCATAATGTTGAATGTGGAGATGAGTTTGTTGCTCATACTACATCTATAAATAGACCACTCCTCCAAAAAGACACAATTTTACTGATCCTCTCTTCTCTCTTTTTCCATTCCTTTTATTTTGGGTTTAGTTACTCTTTTAAGAGTTTCTTGCTAGTTCTTGAGATCCTCAAAATTTCCAGGAAGTTCCTATTGTATCCTGGGAGACTTGCGCAATACAATGCGGATAACTCCTTAAGAACAGTGATTATACACTTTCAAAAATCAAAATTTATCCGTGTCTTTGTCAGCATTTACAATAATAAGTATTAATAATTAATAAGAAAGAAAGAGTGAGAACTTTTATCCTCGATCACTTTTAAATTGGAGTCACCTTAAATTTCATTCAATATTTAGAAAGAGTTCATCATTACAGGTAGTGACGAATCTTAACTATTGATCCTAAAAGGATCAAATAATATATTATTAATAAATTATAAATAAATATAAAAGATAAAATAATAAGAAAGGAAAAGAGGTCAAATTTGTAAATATATAAATATATATATTTAATAATCATTAAGTTTGGAGAGACTAAAATTATAAATACTAATAAAAATTCAAAAATTTAAAAAAAAATCATAAATATTAATGTAACTTATAAAACTTTGAAAGAGCGATGACCCTCTTCTTCCAAAAAAGTCCTCCTCTTACTACAAGTGAAACACTTATCCAAGTTTTGATTCCTAATGATAAAACCTTTCATGCAAGTTATACTAACTAATATTTCTTATCCTTAATCATCAATTGGAGTTTTATCATTTGAAAGCGATGGGTACTGTGACGTTTTAAAAATATTTTGGACTTTTAATAAGTTAACTTCTGTGTAAAGAAACTCATTTCATAAATACTCATAACTAGTTTATATATTTACACGTTTTAAAAATATTTTGGACTTTTAATAAGTTAACTTCTGTGTAAAGAAAGTCATTTCATAAATACTCATAACTATATAGTTTATATCTATACACATAAATCAAACGGTTAAATAAAAATACTTCTTTGATCATAAATTTGAATAATTTTATTACTGCAAAAGAATTTAGTAATTAATTATGTCATACATCTTCCTTTCAAAAAATAAATTAATAAATTATTAAAAGATAAGTAACACACAAAATAATTAATAAAATTTGTAAATAATTAGTAATTTTAAAATTTTAAGCAAATAAATAAATAATTTTAACATATTAACTTACGTTATACAAATAAAACAAAGATGACGTGCAAAAAGCAATAAGTCTTGCACTACCGGAGATAGAAAAATTTTCTGATACATAAAGGCAATACATTTTTCTTAAACACATTTTTATTGAAATTTATTAAAAGTATATAAACTACACATGGGCTATACTTTAAAATTGATGAATATAACATATTTTATTATTTCTTTAAAAAGTTATATTCCTTCTTGTTCTGTCTATATATTTATTTATTTACTTAAAAAACTACATATTTATTTTAAATTTTATTATATTAGCAATTAAGACAAACATTGATTTTTTTTTTCAATAATATAAAATATATAAACAAGTTCATATTTCTTTCATGTTCGTGTTTGCTTTTGAAGAAAGAAATAGAAAAAATAAATAAGAAATAGGTTATGAAAAAAGGAAAAAAACATAGTTATTTAGTTATTTTAGTATTAAAAATATAAAAAATAGAAAGAAAACATTACAAGGAGTTTATAATTTAATTCATTTAATAGAAAAAAAAACTTAAAAATAATAGTATGAGTAAACCACCTTTTAAAATTAATTTTTCTCCATTATTCGATCAACTAAAGAAACAAAATTAATTTTCTCTTTCACTATTTTCCCCTTTACAAGAATTTTGTTAAGAAAAAAATAAATAAAAAATATATGTTCATAGAGGAGAAAACCTAAAAAATTAAATTAATATCATAAATAATATATTTAAAAAAATTATTTAAATAAAATTCTTTTAAGTTTATATCTAACTAGATCGATTTATTATTTATACACAAAATTCAATAAAAAAAATTAAATTCGTCTAACACGATACGAATGAATGTTATGAATAATATATTTTAATCTAAAAATTATTCTAACAGAATCTCTATTAATTTATTTTTTCAAGTACACAGGTTTAATGCTCATAGTAGTTTTTTTTCTTTCATGAAATTTTTTAATTTTTATCTTTCCTCATTCACTTATTATTTTTTTCTCTTTTTTATTGTAAGTCTCTTATTTTTCTCTTTCT